AATGTCTAGGACATTCAGGTCGGTAAATGTTGTTAATACTGTTTATTATAAACAGAGCATTTGCTTAAATATTTGTATCAATAAAAATAACGTATAATATATATATATATATATATATATATATATATATATATATATATATATGACTGAAGTCATTTTTTACAGGTAGTATGCTATTTATAATATAAATATTTATAAATCTGTAGCTGAAGGTCAACCTTTAAGGCGAGTGCATTTTAATTGTTATTGTTATTGATGATTCAAAAAAATGTTGACCAGCAAACTTGCACTAAACTATACATAAGGTGTTGTCAACATTCTTGCAAAAGTCGCTTGAGTGCAATTAAGCGAAACGATTGCACTCGCAACTGCTCGAAAGGTACATTGACTTTTGGAGCACTTCAGTAGAGTGCAAGAGACTTTTTCCGTTCCTTGGGTGAGACGCCGGAAATTGTCCTGCACTCGGAAAACTAACCATTTTCCACAATGCTCTTTCTAGTCACTCCTTCAAGAATTGCATCGGAAGGACGTTCCTCTTTTGAAGTTGCCTATCATCTTCCCTAGGTGTTCCGTTTCGACATTTATGAAAAAAATATCAGGCCGTAAGTGGAGATGTTTTCTTTTCTTTGTTTGTAATACAAAAAGTTGTGATGATATTAATTGGTTTATTTTACTTGGAATTATAGTGAAAAAAGCGTGTATAAGAGCCAGGATTTAAAAAAACAAAAAACAAAAACATGAACAGTACAATGTCCTTCAAATAAAATAAGCAATATTTCACTTTCACGTTTGTACAGAGTGTTCACTGAGTATTTTTTATATATATATATATATATATATATATATATATACAGAAATTAGATTAAATATATAGCAGCATAAGATGGTTAATTTTATATATATATATATATATATATATATATATATATATATATATATATATATATATATATATTACGATAAACGTGCAATTAATTTACAAATTCATGAATTATTCACGCAAAAACAAATGCAAAGGTTAATGATTTAATTGGCAAGAAATCCATCATCGCAAAAAATTCAAATAATATAAAAAACCTCCGAATCCGTTATGAATGAAATGATCCTTGTTTCCATAAATTTCTGCCGTATTAGTTCTTATTTTACTGCAAGCTTTCGTCTGTTCCTACAGACATCTTCAGGTATAGAATAGATGTTGTTCTTGTTTTTTCTCTTAGTAATATATATTAGAAATTTATAGAAACAAGGATCATTTCATTCATAACGGATTCGGAGGTTTTGTATATTATTTGAATTGTTTGCGACGATGGATTTTCGCCAATTAAATTTTTGCATTTGTTTTTGTGTGAATAATTCATGAATTTGTAAATTGATTGCACGTTTATCGTGATTTAAATAACTGATCCAAGTGCGACTTTTGGATAATAAGTGCGACATTACTGTAATTATTGAACAATATAGTTCATGCCACTTTGACAGAAAATTTACCAGTAAAAAAATTCGTTCATCACCATATTTGTATATGAACGCACAACTTTTAAAAATTTAAAATCAAACTCAGCGTTGCTACTGCGCGCTCCAAAAACAATAACTCATTTCCAATAGCATTTTCGGATACAGCAATACATATATTTTCGTTGTCCTCTTATTACTAAGAGAAAAAACAAGAACAACATCTATTCTATACCTGAAGATGTCTGTAGGAACAGACGAAAGCTTGTAGTAAAAAAAATAAGAACTAATACGGCAGAAAATTATAGAAAACAAGGATCATTTCATTCATAACGGATTCGGAGGTTTTTGTATATTATTTGAATTGTTTGCGACGATGGATTTCTCGCCAATTAAATCATTAACCTTTGCATTTGTTTTTGTGTGAATAATTCATGAATATATATATATATATATATATATATATACGAAATTAAATATCTTCTTATCTTGCTAAATATTTAATCTAACATATATATAATTCATTTTCTCCATCAAGACATTCATTTCTGTAGTTCACTGCTACTAACAAGCAGAATTTTTTTTTCTCCTGATGATGGCCATGTTGGCCGAAACTAGTCGAGGAATCTAATTGAAATAATAAAAACGAAAGAATATTATTATACAACCCAGTGTGTCTGAAGATTTTCATTTTTTAATATTTTTATTGTTCAGAACACACACACACACACACACACACACACATATATATACATATATATATATATATATATATATATATATATGCACACACATAAATTAGATTAAATATTAGCAACATAAGGAGATAGGTAATTTCGTTATGTTAAAGTAACTTTTGCAAAACAAAACAAATAAATCTATGAAAAATACTTCGGTGTCTTTTGGAACACCCAGTATAATAACATTTTAGATTGATTTCTTTTCTACGGCTTATCAACCCATTGTGGGTTATTTAAAGACAGAAAATATTTTTACATAGTAATATTTTTGAGATAATACTGATTTACTGATATAACTCTTACTAAATAATCCATAGCTAGGGGAGAAAAGATGGATTAATACCTTCCCAAGGTTATTTGCGCATAAGTGAATATAACAAACGCAACGGGTATTTGAACTCTGCATTCCGATTAAAAATTCTGAACCATTATCCATTACACCACCCGCACATCTATGCTTACGGCACCTGGTATTTCTTAGCAGTCACCCATCCAGGTACTGACCAGGCTAACTGGTGCTTCATTCGGATATGGCCGTAAGGCTTATCATAATAACGTTTTGAAAACACAAGGAACCTAATGTTTTCAATCTCAGCTGGATAAAAACGTACAGTGGGAGGGGTTAGAGTTGATTGAGCAGACATTCTTTAATTGGTTAGTTGTCATATTTATTGGCCAATCGAAAGACAGAAAGAAATGGGCTTTTTTTTCTCGTGGAAAATTACAGGGTGCAATGGATAAATTGTCGTCTAAATTAAGCAAAAATGAAAACACTGACATCTCACTTTAACAGATAAATTTACTAAAATTACACAAAAATATCTTGAAATACTAAAGAGCAAATTTATTCAATAAAATGAACATTGGCTTCAACCACGGCCTCCAGATGACTTCAGAATCTCCTGCAACTCATCTGGACAGTCTCCTAATTTTTATGAAGTTTTATATGTATGCCTACTGCAGCGAAAATGTTAAACAGTGGCGATTTACACATGTTTAATTCATATTTATGATATTTTTTTAGTAATGTTCGCCCAATAAAAACCCAAGAGCCACTCAAGGTAGAGGTTTCGTGTATGAAAGAACAAGCGTTTGGAGTACAGATCTTTTCTTTTCAGCGCTGATTCAGACATTAGAAGGAACCGGAAACCCAATTTTAAACAGGAAACACGGAATAAACCTCTATTCCCATTAAAAAAAAAACGAGGAGGAGTTTGAAGCGGGCGATAGGTGAACCTATCTACTCCCATTACTGTTTTGTTAGCAATCACCCTGGCTTGTCAAACTTTACCGTGTACGTTCATGTATTAAAAAAATGCATCACAGATCTACAATGAAAAGCACAAAGGAATGAAATTCCCCCAAGAGATATGAAAAAAGAAATAAAGACAGCTTTTCTATGAGATAAAAAAAATTGGATGATGATTAATTTAACAGTAGTTCAGATTGCGGAGAGAGTGAAAAGGCAAATTCTTTTTTCAAAGGATATCAATGCGATATATATATATATATATATATATATATATATATATATATATATGCTATGAAGTATTTGTTTTAATCTCTATATTATCATGCGTCAAGTGTATCTGTGTATTTTTGTCCTAACTTTTTTTTTCTAGCTTAGACGGAGATAACATTAAAACTATAAATACTCTCTTGTGCCCACAACACAAGTGAAAGGCAGTATCTTTGTCATGACAATAACACGCTGTTCGTAGATGTTTACGAAGCGAAGAGGTGAAAAGACAGACTCCGTGAAAAAACGCCGCGCAGTAATAATATTTAGAAAAATAATCAGTTGGCGATATTTTCTAATCATAGAAAGTGGAATGAAAACAATCTTGTTATATAGGAAGAAAATGAATAACTACCGACACCGAGGTTCGAGCGTGACACTCTGGACTTATGAATATATATTTTCCCAGGTGTATAAATAGCGGTGTCAGGCTACTGACTGTAGTGATTATTGAGCGACTGTATATCATGGTGTATTTTGTAGGTTCCCTGTGAGTGTGCGGTATTGTGATATATGTAAGATTGAATGATGATGGACGAGTTCTTGTGGTGGATATGCAAATTGCAATGAACGAATGGATCGTGAATCTAATTAGCTAGGTAAAAAATAATTAGTGTCGACCAGCCTCAACCCATTCCACCCCCCATTGTATTTCATATATGTTGTGGTGTCCTCCATCTAAAGAGTCTATGTTGGACTCTTCCGCCTACTATAAGATTAGTAGGAGAGAAGACCTTGGGGGAACTGTCGCACAGATTGTTTAAACAGTCCAACTCCCTGCCTCGGCAGAGAGGAACCCGGACGAGGCTTTGCCGAAGGGCAAAGTTTCGTCCGGGGAGGTAGACAAGCCCTGAACCCGTTTATACGGGTTCGAAGGGAATATTCTTGTACGAGCCTACGGGCTCGGAGAACCCATGCTAAACTCGGCCTTGTGTCACATACATCCCTCGTGGGGGGGGGCTGTTAAATATTAACAGTCGAATAGATTGAACGCTGGGTCATCCGACACACACTCACTAGTCGTGTAATACACTTCTGTTGTACTTACTGTTTAATATATGATATATCTGTAACACTTGCTTTGTTATTTCTTTAACCATTTTACTTGGTCACAACAATATACTATAAATCTCGATTATTGAGTGACTATTGAGTGGAACTATCCAGTTGAATTAGTGTGGATTATTTCCAAGGGTATTTGCGCGAATGAACCCGACTGAAATTGGAACTCGGCTTTCTGATTTCCAGTTCTGTGGCATTATCCATTACATCACCTGCACACATCCAAGCTTACAGCACCTGGTATTCCTAAGCGATCACCCATCTAGGTACTGACCGGGTTCGACGTCGCTTAACTTCGGTGATCGTATAAGAACCGGTATTTCAATATGATATGTCCATAAGCCTCTACGGTGAAGTATTCTAATTAATGATGTGCTTGGGGGTGTAGTGGGAAATGGAACTAAGATTGTGCTATGCCAAATTCCCCATTTCACTGTCTGCAGTGAAAATCACCCTTATGAAATATCTAGTCATTTTATCCGGCTTGAATATATCCCACTGATGCTAAACATCAGTGGGGAGATGTACGGCTGTTTCAACTGCAACGTATTGGCCGATGCGGTCTGAGTACATCTTTGAGATTAGCTTAAAGTGAAAAAAAGAAAAAGACCTCTGTTATTTATTGGACAATTAACAATTCAACTGTTTATTGTAAGCATCTGGTTTATATCTACGATTTCGTTTCGCGATAGTTAAAGTTTTGGGTGAGTATGTCAGGTGACAGAATAGTCTTGGCAGTCGCTTGTTCACGAATTTGTTGAAAGGGCAAAGCAAATATCTGCCTTTTGCCGAAAAAAAAATATAGCTTTGTTTTGTTATCGCCCGGATTTTATTTTGGTACGATATTTGTTTATTTTTGGCTTCCTCTCCTTTTAATTCATTCGTCTTCCCCTCCTCTTTTCACTGCCTTCCTTTCTGTCTTTCTCTCTTCTTTCCTACGCCTCCCTGTTCATCTTTTCAATGCTCCCCTCTTCTACTTCTCTCGCTTTTCATATCGCCTTACTTTTTTTATTACTATATACCCTCACACTTTCTCTCTCTCCTTTCATTTCTTGTTACTTCTTTTCTCTTTCACTTTTGCCCTTTCTTTTTCTCACTATTCTTTTCTTTCCCCTTTTTCTCCGCTTTCTTTTCTTTAGTGACTTTTGCTTTTCACTCTCCTCTTTCTTTTAACTTTCAAATCTACGTTTTCTCTCTTTCTCACTTTCCACCTTACGTTTGTCCTTTCCTTTTCCCAGTCTTCTCTTATTATTCTTTCTTGTTCTTTCTTGGAGTCTTTACCTAATTTAGGAGACGGCAAACCAGCAGGCAAATAAAATGGTAAACTGGGTCAGCCTCCGTTTACGCTAGTAAATGGCACATTAAAAAAGGCAGGAACCTGAATATTCTTATGCCCCATAATTTTGACCTTGACTACTATCACGTATATCGTATATATATAAACATTTGTGTGTGTGTGTGTGTTTGTGTGTTTCATTAAAAACGACAGACAAGGTACTACGGTTAAGCTTCTTATTTAATTTTTCTTGTGTTTGAACAAGAGCTTTCTTTTGGGGATCCAGACGCCTTACGTTACATTTTATCTGACCAGAGCTCTATTTGAACCCCTTTAACCACACACACAAACCTACCAGACTCAATTCGAAACATACTATTAGAAAACACAAACGTAATAACCTCATCCACCTGTTAAAAAAAGATTAAAAATAATGGAAGCCCTAATAATAAAAAAGAAAAAGCCAACTCTTAACAATATTAACTACGAACAAGGCCACAATGTGCTAACCGTGTTCAGAAAATAAAACATATCTATAACACACTAAAAACATACATATATCGCACACACTCAAACTGAAAAAAATAAAATCATACTTGATAATGGCTAAAAGTATAGCCGAAAGTGCTCGGAAGTATAGAACAAAAGGATATTTTCTACACACTCTGTGTCCAAAAAAGAAAGCTCTTGTTCGAACACAAGAAAAATTAAATAAAAATCTTAACCGTAGTACTTTGTCTGTCGTTTTTAATGAAACATGCATAAATGAAGGATTGCTGCCTAAATACACACAATATATATATATATATATATATATATATATAATTAGAAGGAAGAGTCCACGTGTACTTCTTATAGTATATTAAATAGATAGGTTGGTTAATAAAACAAGGTCAAATGAAAGGCTGCCAATGTAATCAGTCCGAAAAACGTTTATTAAATATTAATTATTAACCACATGACAGAAATGAAGCACAGAAATTATGGTTTTAAGTCCGGAATTTTTGGGCACGCTTGTGTCTTTCATCAGCGGCTCGAGAAATAAAGAGAGAAATGGGGATCATTCACCGACAGTTGTTCTTGTGGACGGTGTGATTTCTGGTGGAGATCGTATCATTAGCAAAATCCATATGAAACCTATTTTTATACTTTCACAGTGTTTTGACCCCAGTTTAGGAGTTAACTCTTTGCCCATAGCTGGGACCCTAACAGGTGCTACCACCCCGGTCCAGGGTGGACCTTGAAACACCAGCAATTAAGAGATGCTTCCACGCTCCTCAAAACCTTCTGATCAGAGGCCTTGCTGCTGGACATAGTTTATCATCATACCCAGGACGCCCATTAGCAGATGTGCAGTCGGTGTATTCTACAGCTCCAGTCGATAGGGCGATTGAATGTAAGGAAAGCATGCTATTTATGGAAAAAGAAGCGTTATCCTTTAGAAATGCCGAAAAAGGAATCGGCACAAACATCGTGCTACGTTAAGGATAATAATTTTGCTGAGATTAACGCGAGTAATTTGGCAGAAGTGATTCATTTGGAAATTTATTTGGAAATTGTAGATTCCATGAATTTTGTCGATCAACGACAAACAATTGGTGACGCCTTTCCCGGCAAAATTCTGTTATTCGTTCATTGGTTGTGTTTTTGTGAAGCGGGTGAGGCTGATAATTTTAATTGTTAAATTGAGGCGCCATTTTAATTTTGATTCATGTTCTGTTCACTATATGATTATTTTTTGGTTTTAATCCAGTTTTAAAACTTTCAATCAAAAATGAATTACTTTTAGGATAAATCAAGAAATATTTGGCATAGGGATAAACAAAAGAGGAAATAGAAAGGAACTAGGTAATAAACAGACTGAGATAGATAGATAGATAGATAGATAGATAGATAGATAGATAGATAGAAAAAACAGACTTACATATCAGACTGAGATAGAAAACAGATTTAGATAGATTGATAGGTAGATAGATATGTATAGGAATGGACATAGCAATGGACATAGATAGATGATAGATAGATAGATAGATAGATAGATAGATAGAAAACAGGCTTAGATAATAACTGAGATAGAAAAACAAATTTAGATAGATAGATAGAAAACTTACATATCAGACTGAGATAGAAAAAATTTAGATAGATAGATAGATAGATATGAGATAGATAGATAGATGATATGTAGAGGTAGGAATGGACATATAGCAATGGACATAGATAGATAGATAGATAGATAGATAGATAGATAGATAGATAGATAGATAGAAAAACAGACATACATATCAGACTGAGATAGAAAAAAACAGATAGATAGATAGATAGATAGATAAAGATAGATAGATAGATAGAAAACAGGCTTATCAGACTGAGATAGAAAACAAATTTAGATAGATTAGATAGATAGATAGATAGATAGATAGATATGTAGGTAGGAATGGACATAGATAGCAATGGACAGATAGGATAGATAGATAGATAGATAGATGAAAACAGACATACATATAGATAGATAGATAGATAGATAGATAGATAGATAGATAGATAGATAGATAGAAAACAGGCTTAGATAACAGACTGAAATAGAAAACAAATTTAGATAGATAGATAGGTAGATAGATAGATAGATAGATAGATAGATAGATAGATAGATAGAAAACAGACTTACATATCAGACTGAGATAGAAAACAGATTTAGATAGATTGATAGGTAGATAGATATTTAGGAATGGACATAACAATGGATAGATAGATAGATAGATAGATAGATAGATAGATAGATAGATAGATAGATAGATAGATAGATAGAAAACAGGCTTAGATAACAGACTGAGATAGAAAACAAATTTAGATAGATAGATAGAAAACAGACTTACATATCAGACTGAGATAGAAAACAGATTTAGATAGATAGATAGATAGATAGATAGATAGATAGATAGATATGTAGGTAGGAATGGACATAGATAGCAATGGACATAGATAGATAGATAGATAGATAGATAGATAGATAGATAGATAGATAGATAGAAAACAGACATACATATCAGACTGAGATAGAAAACAGATTTAGATAGATAGATAGGTAGATAGATAGATAGATAGATAGATAGATAGATAGATAGAAAACAGACTTACATATCAGACTGAGATAGAAAACAGATTTAGATAGATTGATAGGTAGATAGATATGTAGGTAGGAATGGACATAGCAATGGACATAGATAGATAGATAGATAGATAGATAGATAGATAGATAGATAGATAGATAGATAGAAAACAGGCTTAGATAAAGACTGAGATAGAAAAACAAATTTAGATAGATGGATAGAAAAACAGACATATCAGACTGAGATAGAAAACAGATTTAGATAGATAGATAGATAGATAGATAGATAGATAGAAGATATGTAGGTAGGAATGGACATAGATAGCAATGGACATAGATAGATAGATAGATAGATAGATAGATAGATAGATAGATAGAAAACAGACATACATATCAGACTGAGATAGAAAACAGATTTAGATAGATAGATAGATAGATAGATAGATAGATAGATAGATAGATAGATAGAAAACAGGTTTAGATAACAGACTGAGATAGAAAACAGATAGATAGATATGTGGGTAGGAATGGACATAGATAGCAATGGACATAGATAGATAGATAGATAGATAGATAGATAGAAAACAGACATACATATCAGACTGAGATAGAAAATTTAGATTTAGATAGATAGATAGATAGATAGATAGATAGAAAAAAGGCTTAGATAACAGACTGAAATGAAAACAAATTTAGATAGATAGATAGATAGATAGATAGATAGATAGATAGATAGATAGAAAACAGACTTACATATCAGACTGAGATAGAAAACAGATTTAGATAGATTGATAGGTAGATAGATATGTAGGTCGGAATGGACATAGCAATGGACATAGATAGATAGATAGATAGATAGATAGATAGATAGATAGATAGATAGAAAACAGGCTTAGATAACAGATGAGATAAAAACAAATTTAGATAGATAGATAGAAAACAGACTTACATATCAGACTGAGATAGAAAACAGATTTAGATAGATAGATAGATAGATAGATAGATAGATAGATAGATTGGACATAGATAGCAATGGATAGATAGATAGATAGATAGATATAGATAGATAGATAGATAGATAGATAGATAGAAAACAGACATACATATCAGACTGAGATAGAAAACAGATTTAGATAGATAGATAGATAGATAGATAGATAGATAGATAGATAGAAAACAGGCTTAGATAACAGACTGAGATAGAAAACAAATTTAGATAGATAGATAGATAGATAGATAGATAGATAGATAGATAGATAGATATGTAGGTAGGAATGGACATAGATAGCAATGGACATAGATAGATAGATAGATAGATAGATAGATAGATAGAAAACAGACATACATATCAGACTGAGATAGAAAACAGATTTAGATAGATAGATAGATAGATAGATAGATAGATAGATAGAAAACAGGCTTAGATAACAGACTGAGATAGAAAACAAATTTAGATAGATAGATAGATAGATAGATAGATAGAAAACAGACTTACATATCAGACTGAGATAGAAAACACATTTAGATAGATAGATAGATAGATAGATAGATAGAAAACAGACTTACATACAGACTGAGATAGAAAACATATTTAGATAGATAGATAGATAGATAGATAGATAGATAGATAGATAGATAACTGACTGAGATAGGAAACAGATTTAGATAGAGAACAAAGATAGATAGATAGATAGATAGATAAGAGCCATAGAGAGAGAGAGAGAGAGATAGATAGATAGATAGATTTAATAGAGTGAGATAGATAAATAAAGAGAGAGACTAAAGCCATCTTGGTTTCTCACAATGAAAATTTGTAGAAAGTTTGTGTCACATCAATTTTCCAAATTGGATAACGAGGGTCAGTCTTTAAAATAATAACGTGTCCTGATTTATATCTACCGTGTTTGAGGTTATATGAGTCCCTCTTATTCATATTACAATATTGTTGAGTTTGTATAGATGTAAATACTGCTAGGCTTCGACTTCGGCGCAAACATTAGCCAACCGGATACCTCGACCTGGGAGAGAATTTTTTGCCATTTTTAGAGGGAAAATCTTGAATACTGACGACTTGCCCTGATAGGAAATGTGCAAATACCTTAAACTCCTGACCAAGCCCAGCATTTTAAAAGTATAATAATACTTTTAAAAAGAAACGAGGAAAACATTGCTTTTAGAAAAGTTCATAGACTTATTCTGTGTTAAAAATGGTGATATTGTTTAAGTGTCGATAGTGACAAATTCCTTTGATATTTTCTTTTACATATTTTAAATATACTTTTTGTTATTTAAAAACAAAATTCCTGCGGTCATTGATATCAAACATTAAATTTTAACAATGTCATAATTTAGTTATTTTCCTTAAATATTTCCAGATACATATATATCATTTTTTGTGGGTGGAGGAGTGGGTTTGTTTTGTTTCCTATCTGATTGACGGCTTCAAATACCAGAAAAGCCAAACCCTAATTTTTTGTATCCTTAGACCGGGTTCCGAAGTTTTTCCGGCTTTAATATTTCTTTCCGAGACGAAAGAAAAAAAAAATTTACCCTCTACCTTCCAGGACGCCATTTTGAAAATGGGAGGGTCGTTGAACTGAGGTCATTGCAAAAAGTGTTTGCAGTTAATGAATCAGTGTAATGTATTAAACCCGGGGCACGCTAGATTGTTGCTATGATTGAGAAAATGGAGAGCCGAGTTCGAATGCCAGTCATGTTTATCACTTACTTTGGGAAAGGCATGAATCCAACTGTTCTCTCCCCAGCTATGGGTAAATAGGAGGACAGACAGTGTCCTATAGTCTTGGGTGGCAACCGGTCTAGAAGGAAAACTCTATGTAGCCCTAGTGTTTCACATTTTATGCAGCAAAGGAAAGGATCGTTCGCATTGGCTCAATGATCCTGATGATGGTCGAAAAAAATCGTTGAAACGGCAAAGTCAGTCTCGGTTTCTTCACTATTTACATTATTCGGACTATTGTCCTCATCTTTGTCGCCATATTTATTACAACGTTTCGGCCTGTACGCTCCGGCCTTTTTCAGGTGGTTGGAATGTCGAACGGAAACCTTCATTTCGCTCACTGGGGTAGACTGTTCTAGTCTGCCATGTTTAATGGATGTCAGTTGTAAGTTGTCTCCTTTTAATTCCCCTCTCCAAGTTCTCCATTGCCTTAACCATCCTGTCATTGGATCTAACCAACGCCCTTATCCACTGTGCCATGTGTCCTTGAGGACATCTGTGTATGAATTTCTGGGTATTATAAACCTAATGCCCCAGCAACCATTTTTTCCTTTAATATATATACATATATATATATATATATATAGTTAAATTCCCAGATCTATATATATATATATATATATATATATATATGTATGTATGTGTGTGTGTGTGTGTGCGTGCGCGCGAATATAGAGAAAAATAGGAAAAAGAACACGTTAGGTAAATAATCCGGAGTTCTTTAGTATTTTTGTTTTTATTTAAAAAAAAACAGTGCTCAATACAAAATAGAGCCCAAATTATAATTATTTTTTTTAAATATGATATATATATATATATATATATATATATATATATATATATATATACAATAAAATCCCAAATCACCAAATATGGGGAATAAGCTTATTTCAAACGACGAAACTTAGATTATTTTATATTAATCGGATCCATTTGGATTATATACCAACAAATTTATTACCTTCACTATATATATATATATATATATATATATATATATATAACTTGATGTACAACCTTCAAATTAGCGGAATAATTATTCAGGGGAAGAATTAACCGTAAAAATATTGTTCTTCCTGGAAAAGGGAGGCGCTCCAGTATTTTTTTTTTTTTTTTTTGTACAGAATCTTTTATTGGAACAATTACAGTTTTCAAACTTTCGGTATGAGGCTAGAATTTTATTTTATTACGAATGTACGAGTTTATCTTAGCCTAGACTAGCCGCACGTATGATGTGATTATATTGGTGAAGACTTAGGCACAATCATCCACATTTTTTCAGAAGAAATGAATACAAAGAACTGCAGGCCGTAGTGTGTCATGAAGTGCCCAAACAATCCTCCTTATGCTCAGAATTCAGTATTGTCCTTCTCCTAGGTTGGTTGCCAACCAACTAAAGAGTTTTACTACTGAAATTATATCTGGGGGAAGGAGGAAGACATGGATTCATACCTTTTCCAAGGTTGAAAGATTTATGGTGCTAATGGTCGATCTATCTTTCTCATTAAATGAAAGTTGGCTTGAACGGCCACTCCTCTATATCTTTTTGTATTAAAACGAATGTCTCTATCCTTGTATCATTCAGGTTTTATCAGTTCTCAACTCGGTATGATGCTACTATTTACTCCTGTGTTAATGGTAAGTCTGATAGGTTCAAATAGGTAACTGATCACAAAAATTACTTTCAACCCGTTGTTAATTGGAGAAAGAAATGGTTTCTTAATTTTGACGTCTTCATAACAAAACTTCTCCCTTTTAGTCGTTTTAGAGACCATTTTTCCGCCTTCCATTAGGATGGCTGAAGCTAACCTCCATTGCGCCTTTTCCGTCTAACATTTTCCACTGATATGAAGTTGAAAGATTATATTGAATTGCTGCAACAGGAAACATTGCTTCACCGTGTGGCTTTATAAAATTTTACTCGCCAGCATCTAGCTTACTCATTTATAAATCTACCATGCGTCCTTGAATAGAAGATAGCTGTCACATCTGGTTTGGTGCTTCTGCCATGTATCTAGAGATTCTTGACAAAATCCACAAAAGAATTTGCAATGTTTTCTGTCCTGACCTGGCATCTCGGCTTTCCCACCGTCGTAACGTAGCTTACATTATAATTGTTCCGATGAGCTTTCCTCTTTCGTACCTTGACTTCTCGAATTTAAGCGCATTACTAGATTAACAATTAATTATCATCATTTTACTAGTGAAATTGTTCAATGTAACCTAAGTTCTTTGCTAACAGTTTAATTTCTTCGCACTCCTCGCTTGAGGAACTCTCTTCTGGATCCTTGCTTCCCAGTCAACTTCGACTTTCAAAAACTTAAAGGCAATCTCAATCATCATCTTCTGTCTTTTGAATCCTGTTAATTTATCGCCCTTTCTTCGTAATAACATTTTGCATCTTAGTGGCTTTATCACCTTATATGGGGTGAAATTATTAGAAAAAGGATTAAGTGAATTGGCAAGGAAGGAAATTATGTAGAAAAATAAGTATTTCTTGCGTTAATTTGTCTTTATTATTAGGCTAGAGATTTATTGATGAACAGGTCGCGATGGATAAATTGTCATCAAAATAACGCAAAAATAAGAATAACAACGATGTCGCATCTTAACAGACATATTTGCCAAAATTATACAAACATATCTTGAAATGCTAAAAAGTAAATTTATTCAATAAAATCCCCATTGACTTCAACCACGGATTCCACACGACTTCGGAATCTCCTGCTACTGTTCTGGACGGTCTCCTTTTTAAGTTGGTGAATGCCATCATAATCCAGATGTCAGGGGTAATGCGGTCGTAGAAATTATCTGGCAGTCATGACTGGGGTTTCTTGCTTGTGTGGCATGGTGCAGAGTCCTGTTGCCAGACATAGGTTCTTCTAACAGCCACCCTCTTGGCCCAGGACAACAATACTTTCTCAAGGCACTTGATGTAGGCATCTGTATTGAGTCTGAGGCCTTCACGAACAAATTCGGGAGTTCTTTTCTTATCAAAAGGATCAGTGTGAGTTTTCCGAGCTGCCGTACCTTCGTAATCAACATTAGACTCATCCAACTCATTTCGAACCCTCTGCACTGTACTCAGATTGACAGCCAAACACTCTGATAGGTTTATATTGGAGCTTCCGGCGCGAATGCCAAGCAGTACAGCATGCTGCTTCCAAATTTCTGGCGGAGTGAATTGCGCCATGATGCTCTTTTTCTTACAGACGGTGCCCAGCTGACCCAACTATACTTTACAGTCGACAAAATCAAAGACAAACAATGCGCATGCGCGAAATTAAAAATATAAAAAGGCGATAATTTACCTATCATAGATAGATAGATAGATAGATAGATAGATAGTAATTTTAAAATACTTGTAGAATTGCCGTGGATTTCAAAAGTTTGGATGAAATATGACAACGAAAGCAAACGAAATAGCGTGTGTATTGTTATTGATTGTGAATAATGTTACTAACTCTTGAACATTCCTTTTCCGTGACCATTCTTTGGGTGATAGATAATGTCTGAATCCGGTGTGAAGACCAGCTATTTCCCGTCAGGAAAAAATCTCTTTTCTATCATCCCATCCACTACAAAATGCATATTTTATCCATGGTGAACAGTAGACCAAATGACGCTAACTCGTAAAATAATTGTTCGGCATTCACACGAACTCTAAATATAAGTCTAATGCTCATGAAAAGACCTGGTTTAAAAGGTCAAAGATTCAAGCATTTTCGACTTAAATTATTGACAGTTTTTATTTTTTTTTGTCGATTTTTCTTTCCATATTATATATATACAGGGTGTTTCAAAAAATTTGATATCATTTCGTAATCTAATAACTTTGTTAGATCTTCAAATGACTTCAAATTTTAATAGCATCTTTATGTTTAATGTTTGTTTTATGTTTTTATGTCTTTATGTTTTTGTGTTTTTCTTATTTGTATTTTTATGTTCTTTAATCTTTAATCTTTTTCTTTACAGGTATAAAAATGCCGTGTCTCAGGCGGTGCGCATATTGAACATTTGTGAAATCGTTCACATAATCCACATGCTTT